TTACTTCATTAAATTAAAATTATGATTGTTATTCATCACATCAAGTCACTATTTTTGAATTTCTATCCTTTGTGTGGGACCCATAACGACTCTATTTTTCATTCCCATTCTACAAATAATGTGGCTTAAACGGGTTCTATATATAAAATGTTTGAGAAGTGTTTTTTTTCCTTTACATAATTCACACGTGAAAACACACATATTAAAAAGAGATGTTATTTTATTCACAAACCATTTTCAGAATTTTTGATATCATTTGATGTAAGAAAAGTGCAAGTGGTTCATTCTTATTTTCTTGATATTTTTATAATTTTTGGCATGAATTACGTTAAGGCCTTTAGGCCGATTTTTATGTTAAATCCTATGGGATGGATCGTTTGGTCAAAGACATTAAATCCTTTAGGATGGACTGTTAGGTCAAAGATGTTAAATCCTACGGGATGGATCGTTTGGTTAAAGATATTAAATCCTATGGGATATGGGGATTCTTAAAAAATTTCTTGAACTCTAAATCTGAGAAATGTTTGTATGTTATGTCAGTTTTATATTTATATTATGTGAATAAGAATGTTGACATATTTTTACTGAGTATTTTCTAAATACTCGCTCTTACTAAAAATTTTCATATTAAAACGGATTGTGTGGACGTGTGAAAGATTGATTAAGTGATGCTTATAGGGCCGACAATTAAATTTTCTAGAAAATATAATTGTCAAACTTTAATTTGAAGAACATCTTCATATTGAATTTTGTGCACATTATTTAATAACTATTTTTATGTATTTTCAACACTTAATGAAAGTGATATTTCCGCTTAAATCAGACAAAGAGGATGTTGGTAACACATAAAGCTATTTTTTTATTTAATAATAATAATAATAATAATAATGAAAAAGATCTTGGAGCATTATAGAATGATATCAAAGCACGAGTTTAGTCGATTCTATAGACTCGTTATTTTAAAAAAAAATATATATATATATAATATTTTTTTTTTTAAATCACATTTACGTGTGATTTACATATAAAAATTATTTTGAAGACTTAGTAGTCTGCAAGAAAAAAATTATGACACTATAATACATTAATGTTTCTCTTCGTTTCAAGTTTTACAATGTAATTTTATATTTATTGATATATATTAGTCCTTATTTACGTTAAGGACGAGTTATTTGAAGAAATATGCTTTTACGTAGAAAAAATATTTCTTAATATATATATTTTTTAAATTATGTCTTGTAAGGATTCAAATTTGACGTGATTATTCACTAATTATATCCTCATAAAAACTACATGTTATTAAACTTTTAATGTATCGTAGTAGTTAAAAATAAAAAAAATAAAAAATTTGTTCTATATGTGATGAGATTTTAATTAAATCTTAAACAAGTATTAAAATAAGACCCACGGCATCTAGCGCTCGTCAATCTATCACCCTTCGATGAACCCAAGGTATGGATGAAATATTATGTTTCATTATATTTTCAAGCATGATATATGAATCATTTAAACTTGATTTCAAGAAATGCTTATGATGTTTAGAATGAATTGTGTTATGCAAGTTATTATTTTGTTTAATATACATGAATGTATGATGATTGGTCATTATATTAAAAGAACAAGAACAAAATGTATAATTTGTTATCACTAACAAAGATAAACCATAATTGAACATTTATGTGTTATACATGGCTAAAACTTATGAGACCACTAGAAATATTAGAGTTTTTCGACTAAATAAGATAATTTCGAAGACAAAATTAATTTAAGGGGGAATGGATGTAACACCCTGAACTTTTTTACTATTTTCACATGGGCCTAAACTTAATATGGGTCACTTAGCAAATGAAATAATCCATATTTAGATTTGTTGTCACACTAAAAGTCCAAAGGCTGAAGCTTTCTTTTGCTCATGTGAACTTAGAATTTATTGTAAATCTTATTTGGGTCGAATATTTACGTACTCTAGAAGTTGATAAAATATATCAATATTATATTCATTTTGTAGCTTGTGTTGAATAATATAAATTGTTTCAAGAAGAAATAATTTTTAGACTAACCATATTCGAGTTATCTTGATAGAAATAAATATATATATATATATATATTGTAAAATGAAGAATGGGACGTTTCTTGACAATTGGAAAACAAAAAGTCAATCATTTTTTTGGTAATTAATATAAAAAATTAACATTTTCAACTTTTACCCAAACATCCCATCAATGATACTAATTTACACACTCACCATGATTGATTGAAATAAAGAATATGCTATTGAAATCCTCTAACGTGTGTGATGGTTGGTATTCATAGTTAGTGACAAGTGAATACTATATATAAAATGTGTGAGAAGTGTTTTTTCCCCTTTTACATACACACATTCACACGTGAAAACACACATACTAAAAAGAGATTATTTTATTCACAAACTGTTTTCAGAATTTTTGATATCATTTGAGATAAGAAAAGTGCAATTGGTTAATTCTTATTTTCTAGATATTTTTATAATTTTTAGCATGAATTACGTTAAGGCATTCTGGCCGATTTTTATGTTAAATTCGACAGGATGGACTGTTTGGTCAAAAATGTTAAATCCTTCGAAATGGACCGTTCGATCAAAGATGTTAAATCCTATGAGATTGATCGTTTGGTCAAAGATGTTAAATCCTACGGGATATAGGGATTTTTAAGAAATTTTTTGAACTCTAAATCTAAGAAATGTTGGTATATTATGTCAAATTTATATTTATATTATGTGAATAAGAATGTTGACATACTTTTACCGAGTGTTTTCAAAATACTCACTCTTACTACAAATTTTCAGGTCAGAACGAGTCGGGTGGATGCGTGGAAGATATAAAAAATGATAAACATATTCAATTAACTATTTAAATGACATGTTTTTGAATAAATTAAACTAACTAATAAATTTTAAGGTAGAAAAACTTAATGTGTATTTTTCCTTTTTCTTTGATCCATTTGGCACCTGCATCACCATCTTGCCACAGTTCCAATCAATCCGCACTAACTTATAAAATTATTATAAGAGTGAGTATTTAAAAATACCCAGTAAGATGTGCATAGATTTCATAAACAATTATATACAATAAATTAAACACTCCATACTACATTTCTTATGGAGTATATCGATAATCATGCGACACACCTATTAGTAGTGTTTTGAATTTTTGAAGGTTTTCACATTTCGTTATAAAGAATCCAATAGAGTTCACATTCCGTTAGGTCAAACCCGAAAGTTCACTGACAATTCATGTATAAATCATTGAACATAAAAATGTATAGAAACAAACCACTTGCACAAAAGTATTTTATCTCGTTAGATCAACCAAATTTTTAAAAGAACTATGAATTCGCGTTTTAATTTCTTTTCTTAAATCTCTCTGCCATCGTGTTAAATTTGTGGTGAATAATGGGACCATCGCATGTTATTTATGGTTGAAATAATAAAATTTTGAAACAATTGAAATAGAGATGTCGTAATTCATTAAAATTGGTTAGGATAATTTTCAATATGTAGGTAAAGTATAACTATCTAAATAATTGCACGATAAACCATTTAATCTAAAATGTTAAGTTTATTTATTTTAATTCAATCTAAAATAGGTACCAACCTTAAAAAAAAGTCAAAAGCTATAAACTTTTGCATGCATGACTAATGACCAAAGTACATATTGCACAAGGTTCATATTTCTCTTTACTCACCAAAACCCCGTCCCCCTACCTCTCCCTTATACCAATTGCTGGCATGAAAATTGCAAACAATCTAATTAACTGAGAACATAATTGAGTATATTCTTAGAAGACAAAAGTATGTATATATAGCCCTTCATGGCACTCCAAATAAGCCACAACCAAATCTTCTTATTTCAAATTCAGATTTATCTTTTGCTCAGAAACAGTTATGGATCTTGCACTCTCAACAATTCTATCCGACTCGAGGGATATAAAAAAATTCGTTGTAGATGAAGGTCATGGAGTTAAGGGTCTTTCTGACATAGGCCTTCAAACACTACCCAAGCACTATATTCAACCTCCTCAAGAACAGATCTCTACCAGCACTATACTAACTGAGGAGTCCATTCCTGTCATTGACATGTCGAATTCGAATGAACAAATAGTAGCAGATATGATATGCAATGCAGCAGAGAAATGGGGTTTCTTCCAAATTGTCAATCATGGGATACCAATGCAAGTGTTGGAGAATGTGAAGAATGCAACTCATAAGTTCTATGGATTACCAGCTGAAGAGAAGAAGAAGTATTCAAAAGGGGAATCGCCTACAAATAATGTACGCTACGGTACAAGCTTTTCTCCTCAAGCAGAGAAGGCTCTGGAGTGGAAGGATTGGCTTAGCTTCTTCTATGTTTCTGATGAAGAGGCTGCTGCATTTTGGCCTTCCATTTGCAGGTTTTAGTGAAATTCTACGACATTAATTTCCAATACATGTGGTCATGTGTATATGTATGTATGTCATCATGCATGTTTACACGATAGCAACAAAAAAGTAAGCTTTATTCTCAATAAATTTGATTGGAAATATGAATCCCTTACTAGCAGAATTATTTAAATTCATTCTTTAATTTTGTTTGGCCATACGTCGTCAACTTCAGTTTCCATCTACCAAAGACAAATTATTAACCAACGTTTATCTGTAGGGATGAGGCATTGGAATACAGGAAGAAGTCTGAACATGTTATCAAGAAGCTGTTGGAGATTTTAATGAAAAGATTAAATATAACTTGTATTGATGAAACCAAGGAATCTCTTCTAATGGGTTCAACGAGGATTAACCTTAACTACTATCCCAAATGTCCAAATCCCGATCTCACAATTGGTGTAGGGCGCCACTCAGATGTTTCAACACTGACCATTCTCCTACAAGATGAAATTGGAGGGCTTTATGTGAGAAAACTAGACACTGATTTTTGGATCCATGTCCCACCAATCGATGGATCTCTCGTGATTAACGTTGGTGATGC